GGGGGGGGGCAGGGAGAGGGGGGAGGTGGGGAGCGGGGAAAGGCGGCGAGGGGCAGGAGGGGAGAAACCAAGCATAGGGGGCGAGATACGAGGGGCAGGGTGCGGATTGAGGAGGGGCAGGGAGTGGAGTGGGTCGGCGGGGGAAGGAAGAGGCGTGCAGCGAGGAGGGGAGAGGGGGAGGAGAAGGTAAAGGAGGGGAGCGCACGGGCGGGGAGGAGCGAATGGCGGGCGGTGGAAACGGCGAGGGTGGTGGGCAGGGAGGGTCAAAAGAGGCGGCAAGGGAGCGGGCACGCGGAGGGTAGGGGCGGGGGGAGCGGATGGCATGCGGGGGCAGGGGGTGTGACTATGAAGGGGGGACCCGGGCAAAGGGGTGTGTAGCGCGGTCGGGGCGCGAGGTTGACGGGTACGATCATACCTCGGCTACTACGCGGATCCCATCAGAACTCCGAAGCTAAGCGCGGTGGGCGAGAGCAGTTATTCATTAATAGGGGAGAGCAAATACAAGCCGAATATAATGGTTTTCCAAGACTAGGAATTTCGACATAGCCTTATCGCTATGAGGACGGTATATATAGTTTGTAGGACAAGGGGAAAGAAAGGAAGGGAAGGAAGGATGAAAGAGTAAGAAGAAGTGGTAGGGAAAAGAAGAGGGTGGTAGGAAGAGAAGGGAAGGATAGAAGAAGGAACAGAAAGAGGGAGGTGGGAAGAAGAGAAGAGGAGAGAGGAGAGAGAGACTAAGGAGGAGGAAGCACCAAAGGACCACAACACGGCAGCAACCCGCACGACCGCACGGGCACAGCGTTTCAAGCACAGCCACTATCGGTGGGCGAGAGCAGTACTGGGCTGGGTGACCTCCCGGGAAGTCCTCGTGTTGTACCCATTTATGCCCCTTGCTCGGCACGTGCCGGGGGAGGGGCAAGCGGGAAAAAGAAAGGACGATTTTAGCGCGTCCGATTCTTTCATTTTCGTTTTTTTGCCCAAACAACGACCCAGCGGGGTGGGGGGCCCCCGGGGAGGCTTGCCCGTGCGAAGAAACGCCCCGTGCGCACCACCGTTGGGCGGTTGGAAGCCGCACACGCGCGCGGGGGTGGAGAGCGGAAACGGGCAGCCGGGGAGGGTGGGGGCGGTTGGATGGGACTTGGGGTGTACGGGGGGCAGGGGAGTTGAGGGGGCAAGGGGAGGGGCAGCAACGGGCAGGGGCTGGGCCAACTGAGGGCACGGAAAAGGGGCGGGCATGAGGGTGAGCAGAGGGCGAGCGATGCAAGGGTGGCACCATAGGGGGGAAACCAGTTGCACGGAGGTGGGAGGTGAGGGGCGTGCGAGGGGGTGGGAAAGGGGCAGGAGGGGCAGAATGGGAGGATGTAGGTGGGGGGGGTGGGGGAGGGGAGTGTGCGTGTGTGTGTGCGTGTGAGAAAGAGAGAGAGAGAGAGAGAGAGAGAGGAGAGGGGGGGGGATTGAAGGGTGGGAGGGGGGCTGGTCGTGGGGATGGGCTGATGGTGGTAAGAGGGCAGCAGGGATGGGGAGAAGGGAGCGTAACGAGGGGAGAGCAAAGGGCAGGGGGGGAGGAAGGGAGGGGCAGGGAGGGAAGAGGCTGAACGTACAAAGGGGGGGAAACGAGGGGCATGGATGATAGGAAACGAGGGCAGGGGTGTGGGAAATCAAGGGCAGGGAGGAGAGAAGCAATGGGTGAGGGGGAAAACAAGGGAGGGGCAGACGGGGGGGGCAGGGAGGGAAGAAACGTGGGGCAGGGAGGGGAGAAGCCAAAGACAGGGGCATGGGCAGGCGGGGCAGGGAGGGAGCAAAGGAGAGGCACGGAGAAAGAAAGGGAGGGCGCGGGGAGGGAAGAAACCGGGCGTGGGGGGGGGGGGGCGGAAAATGAGGGGCAGGGCGGGGAGGAGGGAGGGGCAGGGAGGGGAGAAGCTGAGCACACGGAGGGGGGAAAGGTGAGGCAGGGAGGTAGGAAGCCAAGGACAAGGGGGGGGGGAGAGTGGGGGGGGCAGGGAGAGGGGGGAGGTGGGGAGCGGGGAAAGGCGGCGAGGGGCAGGGAGGGGAGAAACCAAGCATAGGGGGGCGAGATACGAGGGGCAGGGTGCGGATTGAGGAGGGGCAGGGAGTGGAGTGGGTCGGCGAGGGGAAGGAAGAGGCGTGCAGCAGAGGAGGGGAGGGGGGAGGAGAAGGTAAAGGAGGGGAGCGCACGGGCGGGGAGAGCGAATGGCGGGCGGTGGGAAACGGCGAGGGGGGGCAGGGAGGGTCAAAAGAGGCGGCAAGGGAGCGGGCACGCGGAGGGTCAGGGGCGGGGGGAGCGGATGGCATGAGGGGGCAGGGGGTGTGACTATGAAGGGGGGGACCCGGGCAAGGGGTGTGTAGCGGTCGGGGCACGAGGTTGACGTGGTACGATCATACCTCGGCTACTACGCCGGATCCCATCAGAACTCCGAAGCTAAGCGCGCGTGGGCGAGAGCAGTTATTCATTAATAGGGAAGAGCAAATACAAGCCGAATATAATGGTTTTTCCAAGACTAGGAAATTTCGGACATAGCCTAATCGCTATGAGGACGGTATATATATTTTGTAGGAAAAGGGGGAAAGAAAGGAAAGGAAGGAAGGATGAAGGAGTAAGAAGAAGTGGTAGGGAACAGAAGAGGGCGGTAGGAAGAGAAGGGAAGGATAGAAGAAGGGAACAGAAAGAGGGATGGTGGGAAGAAAAGAGGAGAGAGGGAGAGAGACTAAGGAGGAGGAAGCACCAAAGGACCAAAACACGGCAGCAACCCGCACGACCGCACGGGCACAGCGTTTCAAGCACAGCCACTATCGGTGGGCGAGAGCAGTACTGGGCTGGGTGACCTCCCGGGGAAGTCCTCGTGTTGTAACCCCATTTATGCCCCCTTGCTCGGCACGTGCCGGGGGAGGGGCAAGCGGGAAAAGAAAGGACGATTTTAGCGCGTTCCGATTCTTTTCTTTTCGTTTTTTTGCCCCAAACAACGACCCAGCGGGGTGGGGGGCCCCCGGGGAGGCTTGCCCATGCGAAGAAACGCCCCGTGCGCACCACCGTTGGGCGGTTGGAAGCCGCACACGGTCGCGGGGGTGGAGAGCGGAAACGGGCAGCCGGGGGAGGGTGGGGGCGGTTGGATGGGACTTGGGGTGTACGGGGGGCAGGGGAGTTGAGGGGGCAAGGGGAGGGGCAGCAACGGGCAGGGGCTGGGCCAACTGAGGGCACGGGAAAGGGGCGGGCAGAGGGTGAGCAGAGGGGCGAGCGATGCAAGGGTGGCACCATAGGGGGGAAACCAGTTGCACGGAGGTGGGAGGTGAGGGGCGTGCGAGGGGGTGGGAAAGGGGCAGGGAGGGGCAGAATGGGAGGATGTAGGTGGGGGGGGGTGGGGGAGGGGAGTGTGCGTGTGTGTGTGTGTGTGAGAAAGAGAGAGAGAGAGAGAGAGAGAGAGAGAGAGGGAGGGGGGGATTGAAGGGTGGGAGGGGGGCTGGTCGTGGGGATGGGCTGATGGTGGTAAGAGGGCAGCAGGGATGGGGAGAAGGGAGCGTAACGAGGGGAGAGCAAAGGGCAGGGGGGGAGGAAGGGAGGGGCAGGGAGGGAAGAGGCTGAACGTACAAAGGGGGGAAACGAGGGGCATGGATGATAGGAAACGAGGGCAGGGGTGTGGGAAATCAAGGGCAGGGAGGAGAGAAGCAATGGGTGAGGGGAAAACAAGGGAGGGGCAGACGGGGGGCAGGGAGGGAAGAAACGTGGGGCAGGGAGGGGAGAAGCCAAAGACAGGGGCATGGGCAGGCGGGGGCAGGGAGGGAGCAAAGGAGAGGCACGGAGAAAGAAAGGGAGGCGCGGGGAGGGAGAAACCGGGCGTGGGGGGGGGGGGGCGGAAAATGAGGGGCAGGGCGGGGAGGAGGGAGGGGCAGGGAGGGGAGAAGCTGAGCACACGGAGGGGGGAAAGGTGAGGCAGGGAGGTAGGAAGCCAAGGACAAGGGGGGGGGGAGAGTGGGGGGGGGCAGGGAGAGGGGGGAGGTGGGGAGCGGGGAAAGGCGGCGAGGGGCAGGGAGGGGAGAAACCAAGCATAGGGGGGCGAGATACGAGGGGCAGGGTGCGGATTGAGGAGGGGCAGGGAGTGGAGTGGGTCGGCGAGGGGAAGGAAGATGCCGTGCAGCAGAGGAGGGGAGGGGGGAGGAGAAGGTAAAGGAGGGGAGCGCACGGGCGGGGAGGAGCGAATGGCGGGCGGTGGGAAACGGGCGAGGGGGGGCAGGGAGGGTCAAAAGAGGCGGCAAGGGAGCGGGCACGCGGAGGGTAGGGGCGGGGGGAGCGGATGGCATGAGGGGGCAGGGGGTGTGACTATGAAGGGGGGGACCCGGGCAAGGGGTGTGTGTAGCGGTCGGGGCACGAGGTTGACGTTGGTACGATTCATACCTCGGCTACTACGCCGGATCCCAATCAGAACTCGAAGCTAAGCGCCGGTGGGCCGAGAGCAGTTATTCATTAATAGGGGAAGAGCAAATACAAGCCGAATATAATGGTTTTTCCAAGACTAGGAAATTTCGACATAGCCTAATCGCTATGAGGACGGTATATATATTTTGTAGGACAAGGGGGAAAGAAAGGAAAGGAAGGAAGGATGAAAGAGTAAGAAGAAGTGGTAGGGAAAAGAAGAGGGTGGTAGGAAGAGAAGGGAAGGATAGAAGAAGGGAACAGAAAGAGGGAGGTGGGGAAGAGAAGAGGAGAGAGGGAGAGAGACTAAGGAGGAGGAAGCACCAAAGGACCACAAACACGGCAGCAACCCGCACGACCGCACGGGCACAGCGTTTCAAGCACAGCCACTATCGGTGGGCGAGAGCAGTACGGCTGGGTGACCTCCGGGAAGTCCTCGTGTTGTACCCATTTATGCCCCTTGCTCGGCACGTGCCGGGGGGAGGGGCAAGCGGGAAAAAGAAAGGACGATTTTAGCGCGTCCGATTCTTTCTTTTCGTTTTTTTGCCCAAACAACGACCCAGCGGGGTGGGGGGCCCCCGGGGAGGCTTGCCCGTGCGAAGAAACGCCCCGTGCGCACCACCGTTGGGCGGTTGGAAGCCGCACACGTCGCGGTGGGTGGAGAGCGGAAACGGGCAGCCGGGGGAGGGTGGGGGCGGTTGGATGGGACTTGGGGTGTACGGGGGCAGGGGAGTTGAGGGGGCAAGGGGAGGGGCAGCAACGGGCAGGGGCTGGGCCAACTGAGGGCACGGAAAAGGGGCGGGCAGAGGGTGAGCAGAGGGGCGAGCGATGCAAGGGTGGCACCATAGGGGGGAAACCAGTTGCACGGAGGTGGGAGGTGAGGGGCGTGCGAGGGGGTGGGAAAGGGGCAGGGAGGGGCAGAATGGGAGGATGTAGGTGGGGGGGGTGGGGGAGGGGAGTGTGCGTGTGTGTGTGTGTGTGAGAAAGAGAGAGAGAGAGAGAGAGAGAGAGAGAGAGAGAGAGGGAGGGGGGGATTGAAGGGTGGGAGGGGGGCTGGTCGTGGGGATGGGCTGATGGTGGTAAGAGGGCAGCAGGGATGGGGAGAAGGGAGCGTAACGAGGGGAGAGCAAAGGGCAGGGGGGGAGGAAGGGAGGGGCAGGGAGGGAAGAGGCTGAACGTACAAAGGGGGGAAACGAGGGGCATGGATGATAGGAAACGAGGGCAGGGGTGTGGGAAATCAAGGGCAGGGAGGAGAGAAGCAATGGGTGAGGGGAAAACAAGGGAGGGGCAGACGGGGGGCAGGGAGGGAAGAAACGTGGGGCAGGGAGGGGAGAAGCCAAAGACAGGGGCATGGGCAGGCGGGGGCAGGGAGGGAGCAAAGGAGAGGCACGGAGAAAGAAAGGGAGGCGCGGGGAGGGGAGAAACCGGGCGTGGGGGGGGGGGGGGCGGAAAATGAGGGGCAGGGCGGGGAGGAGGGAGGGGCAGGGAGGGGAGAAGCTGAGCACACGGAGGGGGGAAAGGTGAGGCAGGGAGGTAGGAAGCCAAGGACAAGGGGGGGGGGAGAGTGGGGGGGGGCAGGGAGAGGGGGGAGGTGGGGAGCGGGGAAAGGCGGCGAGGGGCAGGGAGGGGAGAAACCAAGCATAGGGGGGCGAGATACGAGGGGCAGGGTGCGGATTGAGGAGGGGCAGGGAGTGGAGTGGGTCGGCGAGGGGAAGGAAGAGGCGTGCAGCAGAGGAGGGGAGGGGGGAGGAGAAGGTAAAGGAGGGGAGCGCACGGGCGGGGAGGAGCGAATGGCGGGCGGTGGGAAACGGCGAGGGGGGCAGGGAGGGTCAAAAGAGGCGGCAAGGGAGCGGGCACGCGGAGGGTAGGGGCGGGGGGAGCGGATGGCATGAGGGGGCAGGGGGTGTGTAGCGGTCGGGGCACGAGGTTGACGTGGTACGATCATACCTCGGCTACTACGCCGGATCCCATCAGAACTCCGAAGCTAAGCGCCGGTGGGCGAGAGCAGTTATTCATTAATAAGGGAAGAGCAAATACAAGCCGAATATAATGGTTTTTCCAAGACTAGGAAATTTCGACATAGCCTAAGCGCTATGAGGACGATATATATATTTTGTAGGAAAAGGGGGAAAGAAAGGAAGGGAAGGAAGGATGAAGGAGTAAGAAGAAGTGGTAGGGAAAGGCAGAGGGTGGTAGGAAGAGAAGGAAGGATAGAAGAAGGGAACAGAAAGAGGGAGGTGGAAGAGAAGAGGAGAGGAGGAGAGAGACTAAGGAGGAGGAAGCACCAAAGGACCAAACACGGCAGCAACCCGCACGACCGCACGGGCACAGCGTTTCAAGCACAGCCACTATTGTGTGGGCGAGAGCAGTACTGGGGCATGGGTGACCTCCCGGGAAGTCCTCGTGTTGTACCCATTTATGCCCCTTGCTCGGCACGTGCCGGGGGAGGGGCAAGCGGGAAAAAGAAAGGACGATTTTAGCGCGGTCCGATTCTTTTCTTTTCGTTTTTTTTGCCCAAACAACGACCCAGCGGGGTGGGGGGCCCCCGGGGAGGCTTGCCCATGCGAAGAAACGCCCCGTGCGCACCACCGTTGGGCGGTTGGAAGCCGCACACGGTCGCGGGGGTGGAGAGCGGAAACGGGCAGCCGGGGGAGGGTGGGGGCGGTTGGATGGGACTTGGGGTGTACGGGGGGCAGGGGAGTTGAGGGGGCAAGGGGAGGGGCAGCAACGGGCAGGGGCTGGGCCAACTGAGGGCACGGAAAAGGGGCGGGCAGAGGGTGAGCAGAGGGGCGAGCGATGCAAGGGTGGCACCATAGGGGGGAAACCAGTTGCACGGAGGTGGGAGGTGAGGGGCGTGCGAGGGGGTGGGAAAGGGGCAGGGAGGGGCAGAATGGGAGGATGTAGGTGGGGGGGGGTGGGGGAGGGGAGTGTGCGTGTGTGTGTGTGTGTGAGAAGAGAGAGAGAGAGAGAGACGAGAGAGAGAGGGAGGGGGGGATTGAAGGGTGGGAGGGGGGCTGGTCGTGGGGATGGGCTGATGGTGGTAAGAGGGCAGCAGGGATGGGGAGAAGGGAGCGTAACGAGGGGAGAGCAAAGGGCAGGGGGGGAGGAAGGGAGGGGCAGGGAGGGAAGAGGCTGAACGTACAAAGGGGGGAAACGAGGGGCATGGATGATAGGAAACGAGGGCAGGGGTGTGGGAAATCAAGGGCAGGGAGGAGAGAAGCAATGGGTGAGGGGAAAACAAGGGAGGGGCAGACGGGGGGCAGGGAGGGAAGAAACGTGGGGCAGGGAGGGAGAAGCCAAAGACAGGGGCATGGGCAGGCGGGGGCAGGGAGGGAGCAAAGGAGAGGCACGGAGAAAGAAAGGGAGGCGCGGGGAGGGGAGAAACCGGGCGTGGGGGGGGGGGGGCGGAAAATGAGGGGCAGGGCGGGGAGGAGGGAGGGGCAGGGAGGGGAGAAGCTGAGCACACGGAGGGGGGAAAGGTGAGGCAGGGAGGTAGGAAGCCAAGGACAAGGGGGGGGGGGAGAGTGGGGGGGGCAGGGAGAGGGGGGAGGTGGGGAGCGGGGAAAGGCGGCGAGGGGCAGGGAGGGGAGAAACCAAGCATAGGGGGGCGAGATACGAGGGGCAGGGTGCGGATTGAGGAGGGGCAGGGAGTGGAGTGGGTCGGCGAGGGGAAGGAAGAGGCGTGCAGCAGAGGAGGGGAGGGGGGAGGAGAAGGTAAAGGAGGGGAGCGCACGGGCGGGGAGGAGCGAATGGCGGGCGGTGGGAAACGGCGAGGGGGGGCAGGGAGGGTCAAAAGAGGCGGCAAGGGAGCGGGCACGCGGAGGGTAGGGGCGGGGGGAGCGGATGGCATGAGGGGGCAGGGGGTGTGACTATGAAGGGGGGGACCCGGCAAGGGGTGTGTAGCGGTCGGGGCACGAGGTTGACGTGGTACGATCATACCTCAGCTACTACGCCGGATCCCATCAGAACTCCGAAGCTAAGCGCCGGTGGGCGAGAGCAGTACTGGGCTGGGTGACCTCCCGGGAAGTCCTCGTGTTGTACCCATTTATGCCCCTTGCTCGGCACGTGCCGGGGGAGGGGCAAGCGGGAAAAAGAAAGGACGATTTTAGCGCGTCCGATTCTTTTCATTTTCGTTTTTTTTGCCCAAACAACGACCCAGCGGGGTGGGGGGCCCCCGGGGAGGCTTGCCCATGCGAAGAAACGCCCCGTGCGCACCACCGTTGGGCGGTTGGAAGCCGCACACGGTCGCGGGGGTGGAGAGCGGAAACGGGCAGCCGGGGGAGGGTGGGGGCGGTTGGATGGGACTTGGGGTGTACGGGGGGCAGGGGAGTTGAGGGGGCAAGGGGAGGGGCAGCAACGGGCAGGGGCTGGGCCAACTGAGGGCACGGAAAAGGGGCGGGCAGAGGGTGAGCAGAGGGGCGAGCGATGCAAGGGTGGCACCATAGGGGGGAAACCAGTTGCACGGAGGTGGGAGGTGAGGGGCGTGCGAGGGGGTGGGAAAGGGGCAGGGAGGGGCAGAATGGGAGGATGTAGGTGGGGGGGGTGGGGGAGGGGAGTGTGCGTGTGTGTGTGTGTGTGAGAAAGAGAGAGAGAGAGAGAGAGAGAGAGAGGGAGGGGGGGATTGAAGGGTGGGAGGGGGGCTGGTCGTGGGGATGGGCTGATGGTGGTAAGAGGGCAGCAGGGATGGGGAGAAGGGAGCGTAACGAGGGGAGAGCAAAGGGCAGGGGGGAGGAAGGGAGGGGCAGGGAGGGAAGAGGCTGAACGTACAAAGGGGGGAAACGAGGGGCATGGATGATAGGAAACGAGGGCAGGGGTGTGGGAAATCAAGGGCAGGGAGGAGAGAAGCAATGGGTGAGGGGAAAACAAGGGAGGGGCAGACGGGGGGCAGGGAGGGAAGAAACGTGGGGCAGGGAGGGGAGAAGCCAAAGACAGGGGCATGGGCAGGCGGGGGCAGGGAGGGAGCAAAGGAGAGGCACGGAGAAAGAAAGGGAGGCGCGGGGAGGGGAGAAACCGGGCGTGGGGGGGGGGGGCGGAAAATGAGGGGCAGGGCGGGGAGGAGGGAGGGGCAGGGAGGGGAGAAGCTGAGCACACGGAGGGGGGAAAGGTGAGGCAGGGAGGTAGGAAGCCAAGGACAAGGGGGGGGAGAGTGGGGGGGGCAGGGAGAGGGGGGAGGTGGGGAGCGGGGAAAGGCGGCGAGGGGCAGGGAGGGGAGAAACCAAGCATAGGGGGGCGAGATACGAGGGGCAGGGTGCGGATTGAGGAGGGGCAGGGAGTGGAGTGGGTCGGCGAGGGGAAGGAAGAGGCGTGCAGCAGAGGAGGGGAGGGGGGAGGAGAAGGTAAAGGAGGGGAGCGCACGGGCGGGGAGGAGCGAATGGCGGGCGGTGGGAAACGGCGAGGGGGGGCAGGGAGGGTCAAAAGAGGCGGCAAGGGAGCGGGCACGCGGAGGGTAGGGGCGGGGGGAGCGGATGGCATGAGGGGGCAGGGGGTGTGACTATGAAGGGGGGGACCCGGGCAAGGGGTGTGTAGCGGTCGGGGCACGAGGTTGACGTGGTACGATCATACCTCGGCTACTACGCCGGATCCCATCAGAACTCCGAAGCTAAGCGCCGGTGGGCGAGAGCAGTTATTCATTAATAGGGGAAGAGCAAATACAAGCCGAATATAATGGTTTTTCCAAGACTAGGAAATTTCGACATAGCCTAATCGCTATGAGGACGGTATATATATTTTGTAGGAAAAGGGGGAAAGAAAGGAAAGGAAGGAAGGATGAAGGAGTAAGAAGAAGTGGTAGGAAAGAAGAGGGCGGTAGGAAGAGAAGGGAAGGATAGAAGAAGGGAACAGAAGAGGGAGGTGGGAAGAAAAGAGGAGAGAGGGAGAGAGACTAAGGAGGAGGAAGCACCAAAGGACCAAAACACGGCAGCAACCCGCACGACCGCACGGGCACAGCGTTTCAAGCACAGCCACTATCGGTGGGCGAGAGCAGTACTGGGCTGGGTGACCTCCCGGGAAGTCCTCGTGTTGTACCCATTTATGCCCCTTGCTCGGCACGTGCCGGGGGAGGGGCAAGCGGGAAAAAGAAAGGACGATTTTAGCGCGTCCGATTCTTTTCTTTTCGTTTTTTTTGCCCAAACAACGACCCAGCGGGGTGGGGGGCCCCCGGGGAGGCTTGCCCATGCGAAGAAACGCCCCGTGCGCACCACCGTTGGGCGGTTGGAAGCCGCACACGGTCGCGGGGGTGGAGAGCGGAAAACGGGCAGCCGGGGGAGGGTGGGGGCGGTTGGATGGGACTTGGGGTGTACGGGGGGCAGGGGAGTTGAGGGGGCAAGGGGAGGGGCAGCAACGGGCAGGGGCTGGGCCAACTGAGGGCACGGAAAAGGGGCGGGCAGAGGGTGAGCAGAGGGGCGAGCGATGCAAGGGTGGCACCATAGGGGGGGAAACCAGTTGCACGGAGGTGGGAGGTGAGGGGCGTGCGAGGGGGTGGGAAAGGGGCAGGGAGGGGCAGAATGGGAGGATGTAGGTGGGGGGGGTGGGGGAGGGGAGTGTGCGTGTGTGTGTGTGTGAGAAGAGAGAGAGAGAGAGAGAGAGAGAGAGAGAGAGGGAGGGGGGGATTGAAGGGTGGGAGGGGGGCTGGTCGTGGGGATGGGCTGATGGTGGTAAGAGGGCAGCAGGGATGGGGAGAAGGGAGCGTAACGAGGGGAGAGCAAAGGGCAGGGGGGGAGGAAGGGAGGGGCAGGGAGGGAAGAGGCTGAACGTACAAAGGGGGGAAACGAGGGGCATGGATGATAGGAAACGAGGGCAGGGGTGTGGGAAATCAAGGGCAGGGAGGAGAGAAGCAATGGGTGAGGGGAAAACAAGGGAGGGGCAGACGGGGGGCAGGGAGGGAAGAAACGTGGGGCAGGGAGGGGAGAAGCCAAAGACAGGGGCATGGGCAGGCGGGGGCAGGGAGGGAGCAAAGGAGAGGCACGGAGAAAGAAAGGGAGGCGCGGGGAGGGGAGAAACCGGGCGTGGGGGGGGGGGGGCGGAAAATGAGGGGCAGGGCGGGGAGGAGGGAGGGGCAGGGAGGGGAGAAGCTGAGCACACGGAGGGGGGAAAGGTGAGGCAGGGAGGTAGGAAGCCAAGGACAAGGGGGGGGGAGAGTGGGGGGGGCAGGGAGAGGGGGGAGGTGGGGAGCGGGGAAAGGCGGCGAGGGGCAGGGAGGGGAGAAACCAAGCATAGGGGGCGAGATACGAGGGGCAGGGTGCGGATTGAGGAGGGGCAGGGAGTGGAGTGGGTCGGCGAGGGGAAGGAAGAGGCGTGCAGCAGAGGAGGGGAGGGGGGAGGAGAAGGTAAAGGAGGGGAGCGCACGGGGCGGGGAGGAGCGAATGGCGGGCGGTGGGAAACGGCGAGGGGGGGCAGGGAGGGTCAAAAGAGGCGGCAAGGGAGCGGGCACGCGGAGGGTAGGGGCGGGGGGAGCGGATGGCATGAGGGGGCAGGGGGTGTGACTATGAAGGGGGGACCCGGGCAAGGGGTGTGTAGCGGTCGGGGCACGAGGTTGACGTGGTACGATCATACCTCGGCTACTACGCCGGATCCCATCAGAACTCCGAAGCTAAGCGCCGGTGGGCGAGAGCAGTACTGGGCTGGGTGACCTCCCGGGAAGTCCTCGTGTTGTACCCATTTATGCCCCTTGCTCGGCACGTGCCGGGGGAGGGGCAAGCGGGAAAAAGAAAGGACGATTTTAGCGCGTCCGATTCTTTTCTTTTCGTTTTTTTGCCCAAACAACGACCCAGCGGGGTGGGGGGCCCCCGGGGAGGCTTGCCCATGCGAAGAAACGCCCCGTGCGCACCACCGTTGGGCGGTTGGAAGCCGCACACGGTCGCGGGGGTGGAGAGCGGAAACGGGCAGCCGGGGGAGGGTGGGGGCGGTTGGATGGGACTTGGGGTGTACGGGGGGCAGGGGAGTTGAGGGGGCAAGGGGAGGGGCAGCAACGGGCAGGGGCTGGGCCAACTGAGGGCACGGAAAAGGGGCGGGCAGAGGGTGAGCAGAGGGGCGAGCGATGCAAGGGTGGCACCATAGGGGGGGAAACCAGTTGCACGGAGGTGGGAGGTGAGGGGCGTGCGAGGGGGTGGGAAAGGGGCAGGGAGGGGCAGAATGGGAGGATGTAGGTGGGGGGGGTGGGGGAGGGGAGTGTGCGTGTGTGTGTGTGTGAGAAGAGAGAGAGAGAGAGAGAGAGAGAGAGAGGGAGGGGGGAGATGAAGGGTGGGAGGGGGGCTGGTCGTGGGGATGGGCTGATGGTGGTAAGAGGGCAGCAGGGATGGGGAGAAGGGAGCGTAACGAGGGGAGAGCAAAGGGCAGGGGGGGAGGAAGGGAGGGGCAGGGAGGGAAGAGGCTGAACGTACAAAGGGGGGAAACGAGGGGCATGGATGATAGGAAACGAGGGCAGGGGTGCGGGAAATCAAGGGCAGGGAGGGAGAGAAGCAATGGGTGAGGGGAAAACAAGGGAGGGGCAGACGGGGTGGGCAGGGAGGGAAGAAACGTGGGGCAGGGAGGGGAGAAGCCAAAGACAGGGGCATGGGCAGGCGGGGGCAGGGAGGGAGCAAGAGGAGAGGCACGGAGAAAGAAAGGGAGGCGCGGGGAGGGGAGAAACCGGGCGTGGGGGGGGGGGGGCGGAAAACGAGGGGCAGGGCGGGGAGGAGGGAGGGGCAGGGAGGGGAGAAGCTGAGCACACAGAGGGGGGAAAGGTGAGGCAGGGAGGTAGGAAGCCAAGGACAAGGGGGGGGGAGAGTGGGGGGGGCAGGGAGAGGGGGGAGGTGGGGAGCGGGGAAAGGCGGCGAGGGGCAGGGAGGGGAGAAACCAAGCATAGGGGGGCGAGATACGAGGGGCAGGGTGCGGATTGAGGAGGGGCAGGGAGTGGAGTGGGTCGGCGAGGGGAAGGAAGAGGCGTGCAGCAGAGGAGGGGAGGGGGGAGGAGAAGGTAAAGGAGGGGAGCGCACGGGCGGGGAGGAGCGAATGGCGGGCGGTGGGAAACGGCGAGGGGGGCAGGGAGGGTCAAAAGAGGCGGCAAGGGAGCGGGCACGCGGAGGGTAGGGGCGGGGGGAGCGGATGGCATGAGGGGGCAGGGGGTGTGACTATGAAGGGGGGGACCCGGGCAAGGGGTGTGTAGCGGTCGGGGCACGGGGTTGACGTGGTACGATCATACCTCGGCTACTACGCCGGATCCCATCAGAACTCCGAAGCTAAGCGCCGGTGGGCGAGAGCAGTTATTCATTAATAAGGGAAGAGCAAATACAAGCCGAATATAATGGTTTTTCCAAGACTAGGAAATTTCGACATAGCCTAAGCGCTATGAGGACGATTTATATATTTTGTAGGAAAAGGGGGAAAGAAAGGAAAGGAAGGAAAGATGAAGGAGTAAGAAGAAGTGGTAGGGAAAGGAAGAGGGTGGTAGGAAGAGAAGGGAAGGATAGAAGAAGGGAACAGAAAGAGGGAGGTGGGAAGAGAAGAGGAGAGAGAGAGAGAGACTAAGGAGAAGGAAGCACCAAAGGACCAAACACGGCAGCAACCCGCACGACCGCACGGGCACAGCGTTTCAAGCACAGCCACTATTGTTTTTTACACATATGCATCATATATATACTGCATATCAGCCACACTCTCGAAGCACCCTGTGACGTGGTGCCAAGTTCCCTGCCCCGCACCCAGTGGGACTGGTGCGGGCATCCACCCGTCGTCGGACCTCCCTAACTGCCGCACCGCATGCTGGATCATGCATTGAGCCTGCGCGCGCTGCAGTGCAACGGAGAGGCGTGTAGTGAGTCCTGCCTCAAATATCCGTGCCGATCCGTCATCCCCCCCACCTCTATCCCTCCTCCGCTGTGCTATCCTCTTTGCGCAGAGCCCCAGAAACTGACGCAGCGGCTCACTCAGAAGGCCAAAGGTCTCCGCCACGCACGCGTAAAAGTGTGGTGCCGGCTGCAGCCCCTCTAAGTGCGGCCCCCAGTGACGCAGCTTCTCCTGCACCCGCCTAGCTGCTGCCACTCCAATCTGTGTGGGGGTCGCCCGTCTCAGCTGCACGTTCCCCTCCCGCTGTGGATCCGCTATGGAGACATCCACAAGAACCATCAGACCCTGGCCAACGTCGCGGCAGGTGAGGTCTGGAATGCGGGAGGCGGTGCCTACACGGCCTGTGCGTCCGACTGGTCCCTGCTGTTGCGCTGGCTGCTGCCCTGTCTGGTCCCTTGGTGCCCCCTCTCCGATCGTCTCTCTCCCCCTCTCCTCTCCTCCATCCACCTGTCCTCTCCCCTCCCCCTCCCTACCCTCCCCCAAACCTCCCGACCCCCCTGCTCCATCCCCTGCTGCCTCTCTCACTCCCTGGCCCTCCCCTCCCAATCCCGCTGCCCCTCCTGTACCTCCGTCCGCTCTCTGCTGCTCCCGCCCCTGCCCCGCCCCCGAGGCCGAACCTGGAGGCGCGGCGCCCTGGGCCCGCGGCCTCCACTGGCTCTCCTGCTGCTGCCTGTGCCGTCCCCCCTCCCCGTCCTGGCCCGTCTGCTCCCCCTGCCGTCCCCTCTGCCCACCTGTCCCTCGCTCCACCTGACCCCGCAGCTGGTGCCGTCCCCACTGTCCCCCGCCACCCGGCTGTCCCGCCTCGCCTCTCCGCTCCCCCGGTCCCTCAGCCCGTGTCCCCTCTCCCACCACTGGCTGTCCCAGTAGTCTCGCTCGAGCCGCCTCCAACTGTGTGAACAGCGTAGAGTCCTCCACCTTTACCGCGAAGCCCGCCTCGACCGCAAAGTCTCGAAGCATGTACTTCACCGTGTCGTGGATGGTAGTGGCGACCCCGTAACGCGGGCACCGAACCGCGTGATGAGGCACCGTCATGTCGTCAATCGCCTGTCCGCAGGAGCACTGACCTGCAAGGGCTAACTGGGGGATAGGGAGACCAAGACGAGAAGATGAAGCCGCCTGCCACAGCGCCTCCGGGATGCGCAGTGGGTCGGCGTACGGCACCGACGTCAACCACGCTCCTGCACCTCCGCCCTGAAGGGAAGTCAAACGGGCAAGGTGCAAGGGAGAGGTGTGACGGGCACGCACGGCCTCCAAGGCATGCGCCTCCAGAAGACGGCTCGCTCCTGCAAAAAGGGAATCGGGGGAGGCAGAAGCGCAAGAGGGCCAGGGGGGAAGGAGAGAGAGAACGTCAGGAGGGAGACCCTCTAGCGCCGTCTGCAGAGCCCGGTCGATCTGCTCTGGCTCACCTGAAGCGAAGCTCTGCCGAAACACCTCGCCACACGCAGGGAGAGAACAGAGAATGGGTGCACACTGCACCCAGGAGCACACGAAACTCACCGGGGCCATGCGCGCCATGCGACGAATGCCGAAACCCCCGAGACGGATGGGGAGGAAGATCTGGTCTAGGGCGGCCTCTCGGACGTCCTCGCGACAAGCCCAGGTCCCTGAAGCTAAAAGCTGCTGAAAAGTCTCTCCCAGGCGTGCGTCCCACCGTGTAAAACTGGAGATCACTGCGGGCGAAGGAGGGACGGTCCTCGACAGGTACTGCGGACGAGTGCTGACACACGCCGAAAGAAGGCGGGCAGCTGTCTGGGGCTGGCGCAACCTCGGAAGCCAAGGTAGCACCCGCCCCATCCTCTCGAGACGATCCGGGAGACTCTGCTCCACGAACGAAACGGTGCCTACCGGTACGCCTGTCACGGTGAGCCCTCGGCGTGCGACCTCGATCCCTAGGCCCGTGAAAGCCTCCAGATCCCTGGACAGAAAGGACTCTGTCTGGTAGACGAGGCACTTGTGCGGCTGGGCTGCAAGGCCCATCTCGCCCAAGCGCCTCACGATCTCGGCAAAATGGTGCAGCACCCTGTCTGGGGGACCTAGCACGTACGTGTCATCGGCGTACGACCAGAGCTGGACATCCCCCTCCGCCAGAACCGGCTCCAAAGCAAGACGCTGTGTCAGAGCGTACAAGAAGGGGCTGAGAGGGTCTCCCTGGCGAGTGCCCCGCTCCGAGTGCATCGTGACCACTCCCGTGCCTGACCTGTAGTGGAGATCCGAGGGCGTCCCGTAGAAGAGGCCGATGAAGGGGATCAGACACTGAAACTCCGGACTGGCCTGCAGCGCCTGAAACATCCTGTCTCGGTGGAAAGAGTTAAAGGCATTCGCCACGTCTAGCTGCAGGACCACCCAGTCTGGGTGGTCAGCCAGAGCGCGGCGGACGCCTCTAACTACGACCTCTGTCCCGCACGTAACCCCCACCCCAAACTGCTGTGATGCCAAGAAGACCCTCGCCATCTGGTCACGTAGCTGGAGACAAACTGCCCGAGAAAGAATGCGGACCAAAACCTCGCCGATGGCAATCGGCCGAACATCCATGTTCGACTTCGCCAGAGCCACGAGGGTGGAGGACGCTAGCAAGGAGCGCGCAGCTGGAGCGCAACGGCCTCGGAGCCACTGCTGGTACACGGCCAGGAGGAAATGGAGACTCTGAGGGAAAGCTAGGAAAGTGTCTCGCAGGTGCTCAGCGACCCAACCGGACGGTCCTCCCGAAGAGCCCCGCGGAGCTGTGAAAATCGCGCGGCGTAAGTGATCCACCGAGAGCACGAGAGGGGACCCCTGGAAGCCAGACAGCCAAGCTGGGGTCGGCCTCTCCGCGTTGGGGTGCTTCGACTGCAGGCGCTGTATCGTCCCCTGTGTATCTGGGGCTGCCTCCGCGGACTCGAGAGCCGCGCACGCCCGTGAGGTCTCATTGCACGCTGCCAGACGAAGGCAACGTGCAATGCGGCGCTCATCTGCTGCAGAGGGATCGGTGGCGGTGCGTGACCGGTGACCTGTGCGGCGAGGAAGGGGTGTGCGACGGCCTAGTGCATCTGAGACTAGCTCAGCCCACTCACCTCGACCAAAGCGAGAGATGCGCGTTGCAATGGCAGCCGTGTGCGAGCGGTCGGGTGGCGTCGCTGGAACAAGGAAAAGAGTCGGCGCTGCAGCGAGGAGGAAGGTAGGGCCAGCAGCCTCCGGGTCCTGGGCAATGCGGACTAGGATCGCACTGAGGACGTCAAGATATCCTCCGCGGACCCTCTCCGGGACACGTCGGAGAGGGCGTGTATGGATACGCTCGGGCGAGAAGTACTCTGTCCAGTCCACCGAGTCGAGCGTCTGCCACTGTGCGTCGGTGAACTGCATCCCGGTCGCACGGGGCTGTGAGAGGGAAGGGATGATCGAGGCGGTATCATGGGCAGCCTGCGCCCTGCGAGCCGCGTCCGCAGGATGGCAGAAGGGAATGTGGTGCTGGAGCGCGCGTCGGTTCGCGAGAGAGCTCCTGCAGGTGGGGCAACTCACGACCTGGTCGGGTGATGTCGCCGTGTCGGCGGGGTCAATCGGGGCCGTGGCGTCGGAACTGGCTGTAGAGGGGACCCCGTGGGCGGCCTGAGCTCCGACAGGATCGCCTGGGATGAGGGGAGGAGACGACTCACCAGCCCCGCGCGGGGGGGGTGTCAGCGAAGATAGAGGTGGTGTCGCACAGGATAGGGCCGGGCCTCGTGCCGGCACCGGTGTTGAAGCTGGGGAGGGGGGACGTGGAGGTGAGCCTGAAGTGTGTGCCGTGGTGTGCTCCTGCCCCTCGGCGGGGTGCGGTTCAAGTGACGGCTCTGCTACCCCAGGCGGAGGGGTCTCGGTAGGGGCGGATGCCTCATCCCTACTGCTGGTGACCTCCTGCGCCACGGGCTGAACGGGGGGAGGCGCCACCCCGTCTAGGTGCGAGTGACACGGCCTCAGACCCCGGTCCGTCTCCATTGGGGTCGGGAGTGACGCGCCTGGCTGAGTGGCGGGGGGGATAAAAGAAGGGACAGACCGGGTGACCTCCGCATACGTCCGGGTCCGGTCCTGTGGGACTGGAAGGGTGGGGGCAGCCGGAGAGCTGCTCAGGCGGTGTATCGCCAGCAAATCTGAAATGCCAGCCCTCACCTCCTCTGGGGTCTCGAAGACCTGCCTGCCTGTAGGTGAGAGTAGGAGGGCTGGCAGGGTAGAGGGTGGAGTGGGGCGTGCTGGCTGAGCGGAGCTCGGGTGTGGACCCTGCCCTAGAAGGCCCCCTTGGCCCTCCCCAATCACCATGGGTTGCGGTAGGGGGTCGTCGACATGGAAGGGGTGGGAGGGATGGGAGGGGGAGTCGGTGGCGTCTGCCATGGGCGCATCCCTCAACCCGACGGCCCCCCTCCCAGTAGCGATCGCGGCCGCCGCCACCTGGGAGGGGGACACAGCACGGGAGGGGCAGAATGGGGGTGAGTGGGCTGGTCCGCTCCCATGGCCCTGTGGAGGTGCAGGAGCGGGGCGGGAGTGTAGGTTTGGTGGACGGGCTGTAGAGGTAGGGCCTGGTAATTGTTCAACGGGATGTGAGGTGGGGAGGGGCTCTTGGTGGGGGAGGGAGGGAGGGGGGAGTACGTGGGCTGACCCTCTGCCTCCTCTGCCCCTGTTCTTCCGCCGGCGGCCAACCTGGTTGTCCGCGCCTGTTTGTGAAGGAAGGGGGGGCTGTGGGGCCAAAGGGGTGGGTGGAGGGAGGATGGGTGGTTCGCCAGGCAGGGGGTGCTCTGTGTGCATCCCCACTCTCCTCGAAACATCCCCCTCCGTGGGAACAGATCGGGCAAGCTGTGTGTGGGGGGTGATGGCTGCCCAACGGGGCCACTCGTGGGGAACCCGGCCGGGAGAGGGGGTTGGAGGTGGGGGTCGAGGGGCTGGGCCAGTGTGGAGGTTAGAGCGAGGTACAAACGGTGGGGGGAGAGAGATTTGTGTGGGCTCTGTGGTGGCCTCTCCTGTGGGCCCCTCTACCCGGGTGCCGCCGCTCCCATGAGCCTGGGGCGCAAGCCCTTGCGGGTGGGTCTCGGCTGCCTGGGGGGGGTGGTGTGGGGAGGGCAGCCTGTTGGGTGGGCGTGTTGGGGCTGTGCGGCGACTCGGGTGGTTTGGGTGCCTGTAGCGTGTGGGAGAGGGATTTGGCCGCAGAGATGCTTCAACCTCCGAGATGTGTGTACTACCGGGTGGGGGGGGGCCTGGTGGAGGAGGGGGTAGTGGGCCGGTAAGGGGTGGCTGGGTGTTGGTAGGAGTCGGGGAGCATGGCTCCTCTAGGAAGACCAGAGCCCTGGCTGCTCCACGTGGTGCTCTAAGGAGCCCCTGAGGGTGGGGGCAGAGGTGTGCTGCCCTTGGGGGTGAAGGAAGGAGTGAGGGAAGGGGCGGGGAGGGGTGAGAGGTGAGAGAAGGGGTGCCCTCGGGTGACTCTGCTCTTGTCGCACCCGCGTGCTCTCCCGGTGGACCGCCTGCAACCGTGGGGTCAGGCGTTGGGGACGGAGAGGGGGGCTGGCCATGGAGCAGCGTGGGGGTCGGGGAGCACGGCTCCGCCAAGAAGGCCAGGGCCTTGGCTGCCCCCCTGGACACTACCGGGACCTGAGGGTGGGGGTGGGGAAGTGGTGCTCCTGGGGGCTGGTGGGCTGGAGGACGGGAGGTGAGGATGGGGGCTCCCTCGCGCGGCTCTGTCCTCAAGGTCTCCCCCAGCCCCTCCATCGGTCCTTCTGCTAGCATGGGGACGGGCATGGGGGGTAGAGGGGGAACCTCGACGTGAGGCTGCAGGGGGGCCGGGTCGGCCTCACCGTCAAGCGTGAGGTATTGGGCCAGTGGCCCGTCAATGTGCATCACATCCTCTCCCTCATCCTCCTCTATCGCTATCACATCCCCCTCTTCAGTGCCCACCCCGGTCGGGACCACCCTCCCCTCTCCTTCCCCTGTTGCCCCTATGTCCCCCAAGCCCACCCCGCCTGCTGCCGCTTTACTGCTAGCCCCTTTTGCAGTCTCTGCCGGCCCTGCCGGCCCTGCTGTGTGTTTCCCCGAGTTTGCTGCGGCCCCTGCCGCCCCTACTGGCCGTGCTATGGCCCTCCCTGCTGCTTCAGCTGCAGCCTCACCTTCTGCCTTTGAGGCCCCTGCCGTACCCTCTCTTGCTACAGCCGGGGCGGCACTCTCCCTCGCACCAGTCCCCGTTACCCCCTTCCCCGCTGCACCCGTAGCACCTCCCCCTATACCAGCCCCCGCTGTGGCCTCTGTCGCTCCTGCTGCAGTCCTTGCAGCCTCGACTGCTGCAGTCTGTAAAACCTCGCCTACCGTAATCTGCTCAGCCTCACCAGCCGCGATCCCTGTAGCCTCACGTGCTGCAGTCCCTGCAGCCTCACGTGCTGCAGTCCCTGCAGCCTCACCCGCTGCAGTCCCTGCGGCCTCACCTGCTGCAGTCTGTGCAGCCTCACCTGCTAGAATCTGCTCAACCTCACATGCTGCGGCCTCTGCAGCCTCACCTGCTGCGGCTATTTCAGCCTCACCTGCTGCGCTCCCTGCGGCCTCACCTGCCATGGTCCCGCCTGCAGCCTCATCCGCTGTGGTCCCTGCCGCCTCACCTGCTGCAGTCCCTGCGGCCTCACCTGTTGCAGTCCATGCGACCTCACCAGCTGTAGACTGTGCAGCCTCACCTGCTAGAGTCTGCCCAACCTTACATGATGCAGCCCTCGCAGCCTCACCTGCTGCGTCCGCCGCAGCCTCACCTGCTGTGGCCCCTGCAGTCCCGCCTGCTGCGCTCCCTGCAGCCTCGCCTGCTGCGCTCCCTGCAGCCTCGCTTGCTGCGCTCCCTGCGGCCTCACCTGCTGCGCTCTCTGCAGCCTCACCTGCTGCGCCCCCTACAGCCTCACCTGCTGCGCTCCCCGCAGCCTCACCTACTGCGCTCCCTGCGGCCTCACCTGCCATGGTCCCTCCTGCAGCCTCACCCGTTGTGATCCCTGCAGCCACACCTGCTGTGGTCTGTGCGGCCTCACCTGGTGCGGTCCCTATAGCCTCCTCTGCTGCGGTTCCCCCAGCCGACGCAGCAGCAGGTTCCGTGGCCCCTACTCCTGCAAAACCTGTCTCCATGGCCTCTGCCCTTTGCCTGGCCAGAGTCACGGTCCCTGCCGCCCCTTCCCGTGCAGCCCCTGCCGCCCTTTCCCGTGCAGCCGCTGCTGCCCCTTCCCTTGCAGCCTCTGCTGCCCTTTCCTCTGCAGCCTCTGCTGCCCCTTCCCCCACAACCCCCATTGCCCCTTCCCGTGCAGCCTTTGCTGCCCCATCCTCTGTAGCCTCTGCTGCTCCTTCACACACAAACTCACTTACCCCTTCCCGTGCAGTGTCAGCTGCAAGTTCCCCCCTGGCTCTGCCCTCTCCCGCTTCTATGTGCTTGGGGGTGCGGGTAGGATTAAGTGTTTTCACAAGTAATCTGGTTTGCGAATGGGAGGTAGCGAGTGAGTTGGAGGATCTCTCTACTGAGCATGCATGGGTGCCGCCCCCGCTGTCACCTGAAGGGGGGGTAGACTGGGATGGGGCAGCGGGGGTAGGGCGCGGTTTTGAGCGTGCTGGCTCCTCCTCGTGTATTTCCTCCAGTGGGGCTTGGCGTTCCTCTGTTCCATCCTCTTCAAAGGTACGCTTCTGGCCCCTAGGGTCAGATTGTGTGAGTGTTTTCGCTTGGTCAGGTGTGTGTTGTTTCTTCCTGACTGTTGAAGTGGGGGGAGTGGGAGAGTAGGGGGTGGCTCGGCTGCGGGACCTCCCAGATCGCCGAGGGGCTCCCGGGCCTGCCTTTCCCCCACTCGCGGGGTGCTGGGGCATTGTTACAGAGGCAGCATGCCTGGCGGTGGCGGTGTGAGTTGCTGGGGTTGGCTCAAGAGGGCGTCAAAGGGGGAAGGAACTCCCTGGCAGAGGCCGGGGTGCGGGGGGTTAGCTTGGGGAAAGGGGAAAAGGGTGGGGAAAGCGGTGCGCAGTGGGTGGAAGAGAGGGTAGAGGGGGCCTGACAGTTGGAGGGGATTGGGGCCCAAGGGGGGGGCGGGCTGGGGGCCGATTGAGAGGGGAAGTGTTGGCGGGCTGTAGTGGAGGTGGGGGGGCGGGGGTGGTGTAGCGGTGGGTGAGCAGGGTGTGGGGACAGGTGGTGGGCCAGAGGTGGGGAGGGCAGGGCAGAATTCCACGGGAGGTGGGGGTGGGCAGGTGGAGCCAGGTGGGAAAGGAAGGGTGGGGAACAGAGAGGAAGGGGCAAAGGGTAGTGGGTAGTCGAGTTGGCGTGAGCCTGGTAGCGGGTAATGAGAAGGTTGGGAGGCGGGGGGTGAGAACGTGGGAGGGCAGAGAGGGCACCGAAAGGAGGTGCTGTGGTAAATGCAGGATAGGATGCGGGGCCGGGAAACAGGGGACAGAGGGAATTGGGGAATCGATGAAGGGTGATAGCTGCGGATGGGCGAGCCCCAGGGGGGAGGAAATATGGAGGGTGTTGGAGAAGGGGGAGACTGGGGGGGGTTGAGGTAGGGTGTTGGAGGGCACAAGGGGCAGGAACAGGGGGTGCAAAAGTTGGCTGGGGGAGGGAGAGGCGGTCTGGTGCCGCGGAAAGGCGGAGGGAGGTTGGGGACGGCACAGCCCAGGGAGCAAAAGCAAGGGGTGTAGACCTTGGCTGGGGGTAGGAACGGCGGTGTGGAGTTAGGGAGAGGTAGAGGGAGGCTGGGGTAGGTGGCTGGATTGCGCAGGGAGCAGGGGCAGGGGGTGTAGAGATTGGATGGGGGTGGGAAAGGCGGCGTGGTGCCAGGTGGCGGCAGTTGGGTCACCGAAGGGCCTGGCAGGGCGGGATGCAGAGGTGCAGCCCACGCTGGATGCGGAAGTAGCTGGGGGGGAAAGGGAGGCTGGAGGGGGAAGTACGGCTCGTAGAGGTGTGGGGGGCAGAGTGGGAGTGGGGAAAGCAGGAAGGGGGGTGGAGGGACGTTGTGGACAGGGGAGTGGGGGAACATGCGGGTGATGATAGGGAGAAGCCGGGGGGGGGGGAGAAGGGGGAGGTGGTATGAAGTGGGCAAGGGTGACGCACGGGCAGAGCGCGGCGGTACTAAGGGCAGGGAGACGGGAGGCTGGGGGGAGAAAGGCCTGCTTGGGGGCGTGGTGGGGGATAAGGGGAGAGGGGCGGTAATGCTGGTGGGCAAAAGGGGAGGGTGTGGTGTAGTATGATGAAACAGAATGGGGGGGTGGCGGACTGGGTGGGGCCCTGGAGGGTTGGGAGAACAAGGTGTAAGCTGCCTTTCTGATTTTTCCTGGTTTTTTCGGATTTATATGAATTTCTTTTTCTTTTCTTTTTTCCTTGAAGTTGTTTCCTCTTATTTCCTACGGTTTCCAGAAACAGGGCGGCCTCTGCTAGCTAAGCGCCGTTAGGGAAAGAGGTTAGGTGGCGGGGTGGCTAAAGCGCGCGTGTGAGGGGGAAAGGGGCGGTGTGAGCAGGGAGGTGACTATGTGGGTGGCGACGGGGTAAAATTACGACGTGTGGGTGGCATGCACGAGTGCGCGACGAGGCACGGCAGGGTGGGAGTGAGCAAAAGGGGAGTGGGGCGGCTTGTGTGCCAAACGTGGGCGGCTAAAACGCTCTAGGCAGAAAACGCGCTTCGGGAGGCGCGCAAGGGGAGGGCTGCTTAATCGCTACGAACGTAGCAATTTCGCCTCCCTCCGCGCTGCCTTTCCCTGGCGGTAAGCGCCCCGTGCGCGGTTCCGTCTACGTCGCGGCTAGATTGAACAGGCGGGGAAAACGAGTGCATGACTAAACATGATAGGCGACGAGAAAGCGTGCTTGGAAACGCGCGGCTCTTCGAATTAGGGTTACGATAAAGAAGGGCGCACCGAAAGGGAAGGAAGAGTGCTAACTACGGGCGGAAGCTAAGCTCAGTGACTTCGAGAGAGGGAAACCGCGGGAAAAAACTCGGTAGCAGCTAATCGCTTCGAATAGAAAAGCCGTGAGCAGAAAAGAGCGGGGGGATAAGGGAGAGTGTCGAGAGAGGGGATGGGCGGGAACACCGTGTCTGGCGGAGTTGTGGTTGTGAGTCGCGCGCGCTGTTACACTCCGCGGGCGAACTTCGCGTCAGCGCCCCACCTCCCGTTACACCGGCTGCAGCGCGTCCGCAGCGATCCCGCGATGGCGGGGTCGAACAAACGGTTCCGTAACACCCCGCGAGTTCCGTTTCCGAGACTCCTGAGGGTCGCGCGCGAAACTCGCGACCCCCGTCCCGTCGAACTCGACAGTCGAAACTAAAAAACTAACCGTTGGAAACGCTTATAACTATAACATAAACAACTATCACAATCACTTTGTCCTTAAGCAACTCGAAATAGTAGGTTTAGGAGGCTCCTTAGTAGGCAGCCATGGCTAGGTAAGCTAGGTCAAGGTAAGAGCGCCGGTGGGCGAGAGCAGTACTGGGCTGGGTGACCTCCCGGGAAGTCCTCGTGTTGTACCCATTTATGCCCCTTGCTCGGCACGTGCCGGGGGAGGGGCAAGCGGGAAAAAGAAAGGACGATTTCAGCGCGTCCGATTTTTTCATTTTCGTTTTTTTTGCCCGAAACAACGACCCAGCGGGGTGGGGGGCCCCCGGGGAGGCTTGCCCGTGCGAAGAAACGCCCCGTGCGCACCACCGTTGGGCGGTTGGAAGCCGCACACGGTCGCGGGGGTGGAGAGCGGAAACGGGCAGCCGGGGGAGGGTGGGGGCGGTTGGATGGGACTGGGGTGTACGGGGGGCAGGGGAGTTGAGGGGGCAAGGGGAGGGGCAGCAACGGGCAGGGGCTGGGCCAGCTGAGGGCACGGAAAAGGGGCGGGCAGAGGGTGAGCAGAGGGGCGAGCGATGCAAGGGAGGCACCATAGGGGGGGAAACCAGTTGCACGGAGGTGGGAGGTGAGGGGCGTGCGAGGGGGTGGGAAAGGGGCAGGGAGGGGCAGAATGGGAGGATGTGGGTGGGGGGGTGGGGGAGGGGAGTGTGCGTGTGTGTGTGTGAGAAAGAGAGAGAGGGAAAGGGAGGGGGGGAGAGAAGGGTGGGAGGGGGGCTGGTGGTGGGGATGGGCTGATGGTGGTAAGAGGGCAGCAGGGATGGGGAGAAGGGAGCGTAACGAGGGGAGAGCAAAGGGCAGGGGGGGAGGAAGGGAGGGGCAGGGAGGGAAGAGGCTGAACGTACAAAGGGGGGGAAACGAGGGGCATGGATGGTAGGAAACAAGGGCAGGGGTGCGGGAAATCAAGGGCAGGGAGGGGAGAAGCAATGGGTGAGGGGAAAACAAGGGAGGGGCAGAGGGGGTGGGCAGGGAGGGAAGAAACGTGGGGCAGGGAGGGGAGAAGCCAAAGACAGGGGCATGGGCAGGCGGGGGCAGGGAGGGAGCAGAGGAGAGGCACGGAGAAAGAAAGGGAGGCGCGGGGAGGGGAGAAACCGGGCGTGGGGGGGGCGGAAAACGAGGGGCAGGGCGGGGAGGAGGGAGGGGCAGGGAGGGGAGAAGCTGAGCACACAGAGGGGGGAAAGGTGGGGCAGGGAGGTAGGAAGCCAAGGGCAAGGGTGGGAGAGTGGGGGGGGCAGGGAGAGGGGGGAGGTGGGGGGCGGAGAAAGGCGGCGAGGGGCAGGGAGGGGAGAAACCAAGCATAGGGGGGCGAGATACGAGGGGCAGGGTGCGGATTGAGGAGGGGCAGGGAGTGGAGTGGGTCGGCGAGGGGAAGGAAGAGGCGTGCAGCAGAGGAGGGGAGGGGGGAGGAGAAGGTAAACGAGGGGAGCGCACGGGCGGGGAGGAGCGAATGGCGGGCGGTGGGAAACGGCGAGGGGGGCAGGGAGGGTCAAAAGAGGCGGCAAGGGAGCGGGCACGCGGAGGGTAGGGGCGGGGGGAGCGGATGGCATGAGGGGGCAGGGGGTGTGACTGTGAAGGGGGGACCCGGGCAAGGGGTGTGTACCGGTCGGGGCACGGGGTTGACGTGGTACGATCATACCTCGGCTACTACGCCGGATCCCATCAGAACTCCGAAGCTAAGCGCCGGTGGGCGAGAGCAGTTATTCATTAATAAGGGAAGAGCAAATACAAGCCGAATATAATGGTTTTTCCAAGACTAGGAAATTTCGACATAGCCTAAGCGCTATGAGGACGATTTATATATTTTGTAGGAAAAGGGGGAAAGAAAGGAAAGGAAGGAAAGATGAAGGAGTAAGAAGAAGTGGTAGGGAAAGGAAGAGGGTGGTAGGAAGAGAAGGGAAGGATAGAAGAAGGGAACAGAAAGAGGGAGGTGGGAAGAGAAGAGGAGAGAGAGAGAGAGACTAAGGAGAAGGAAGCACCAAAGGACCAAACACGGCAGCAACCCGCACGACCGCACGGGCACAGCGTTTCAAGCACAGCCACTATTGTTTTTTACACATATGCATCATATATATACTGCATATCAGCCACACTCTCGAAGCACCCTGTGACGTGGTGCCAAGTTCCCTGCCCCGCACCCAGTGGGACTGGTGCGGGCATCCACCCGTCGTCGGACCTCCCTAACTGCCGCACCGCATGCTGGATCATGCATTGAGCCTGCGCGCGCTGCAGTGCAACGGAGAGGCGTGTAGTGAGTCCTGCCTCAAATATCCGTGCCGATCCGTCATCCCCCCCACCTCTATCCCTCCTCCGCTGTGCTATCCTCTTTGCGCAGAGCCCCAGAAACTGACGCAGCGGCTCACTCAGAAGGCCAAAGGTCTCCGCCACGCACGCGTAAAAGTGTGGTGCCGGCTGCAGCCCCTCTAAGTGCGGCCCCCAGTGACGCAGCTTCTCCTGCACCCGCCTAGCTGCTGCCACTCCAATCTGTGTGGGGGTCGCCCGTCTCAGCTGCACGTTCCCCTCCCGCTGTGGATCCGCTATGGAGACATCCACAAGAACCATCAGACCCTGGCCAACGTCGCGGCAGGTGAGGTCTGGAATGCGGGAGGCGGTGCCTACACGGCCTGTGCGTCCGACTGGTCCCTGCTGTTGCGCTGGCTGCTGCCCTGTCTGGTCCCTTGGTGCCCCCTCTCCGATCGTCTCTCTCCCCCTCTCCTCTCCTCCATCCACCTGTCCTCTCCCCTCCCCCTCCCTACCCTCCCCCAAACCTCCCGACCCCCCTGCTCCATCCCCTGCTGCCTCTCTCACTCCCTGGCCCTCCCCTCCCAATCCCGCTGCCCCTCCTGTACCTCCGTCCGCTCTCTGCTGCTCCCGCCCCTGCCCCGCCCCCGAGGCCGAACCTGGAGGCGCGGCGCCCTGGGCCCGCGGCCTCCACTGGCTCTCCTGCTGCTGCCTGTGCCGTCCCCCCTCCCCGTCCTGGCCCGTCTGCTCCCCCTGCCGTCCCCTCTGCCCACCTGTCCCTCGCTCCACCTGACCCCGCAGCTGGTGCCGTCCCCACTGTCCCCCGCCACCCGGCTGTCCCGCCTCGCCTCTCCGCTCCCCCGGTCCCTCAGCCCGTGTCCCCTCTCCCACCACTGGCTGTCCCAGTAGTCTCGCTCGAGCCGCCTCCAACTGTGTGAACAGCGTAGAGTCCTCCACCTTTACCGCGAAGCCCGCCTCGACCGCAAAGTCTCGAAGCATGTACTTCACCGTGTCGTGGATGGTAGTGGCGACCCCGTAACGCGGGCACCGAACCGCGTGATGAGGCACCGTCATGTCGTCAATCGCCTGTCCGCAGGAGCACTGACCTGCAAGGGCTAACTGGGGGATAGGGAGACCAAGACGAGAAGATGAAGCCGCCTGCCACAGCGCCTCCGGGATGCGCAGTGGGTCGGCGTACGGCACCGACGTCAACCACGCTCCTGCACCTCCGCCCTGAAGGGAAGTCAAACGGGCAAGGTGCAAGGGAGAGGTGTGACGGGCACGCACGGCCTCCAAGGCATGCGCCTCCAGAAGACGGCTCGCTCCTGCAAAAAGGGAATCGGGGGAGGCAGAAGCGCAAGAGGGCCAGGGGGGAAGGAGAGAGAGAACGTCAGGAGGGAGACCCTCTAGCGCCGTCTGCAGAGCCCGGTCGATCTGCTCTGGCTCACCTGAAGCGAAGCTCTGCCGAAACACCTCGCCACACGCAGGGAGAGAACAGAGAATGGGTGCACACTGCACCCAGGAGCACACGAAACTCACCGGGGCCATGCGCGCCATGCGACGAATGCCGAAACCCCCGAGACGGATGGGGAGGAAGATCTGGTCTAGGGCGGCCTCTCGGACGTCCTCGCGACAAGCCCAGGTCCCTGAAGCTAAAAGCTGCTGAAAAGTCTCTCCCAGGCGTGCGTCCCACCGTGTAAAACTGGAGATCACTGCGGGCGAAGGAGGGACGGTCCTCGACAGGTACTGCGGACGAGTGCTGACACACGCCGAAAGAAGGCGGGCAGCTGTCTGGGGCTGGCGCAACCTCGGAAGCCAAGGTAGCACCCGCCCCATCCTCTCGAGACGATCCGGGAGACTCTGCTCCACGAACGAAACGGTGCCTACCGGTACGCCTGTCACGGTGAGCCCTCGGCGTGCGACCTCGATCCCTAGGCCCGTGAAAGCCTCCAGATCCCTGGACAGAAAGGACTCTGTCTGGTAGACGAGGCACTTGTGCGGCTGGGCTGCAAGGCCCATCTCGCCCAAGCGCCTCACGATCTCGGCAAAATGGTGCAGCACCCTGTCTGGGGGACCTAGCACGTACGTGTCATCGGCGTACGACCAGAGCTGGACATCCCCCTCCGCCAGAACCGGCTCCAAAGCAAGACGCTGTGTCAGAGCGTACAAGAAGGGGCTGAGAGGGTCTCCCTGGCGAGTGCCCCGCTCCGAGTGCATCGTGACCACTCCCGTGCCTGACCTGTAGTGGAGATCCGAGGGCGTCCCGTAGAAGAGGCCGATGAAGGGGATCAGACACTGAAACTCCGGACTGGCCTGCAGCGCCTGAAACATCCTGTCTCGGTGGAAAGAGTTAAAGGCATTCGCCACGTCTAGCTGCAGGACCACCCAGTCTGGGTGGTCAGCCAGAGCGCGGCGGACGCCTCTAACTACGACCTCTGTCCCGCACGTAACCCCCACCCCAAACTGCTGTGATGCCAAGAAGACCCTCGCCATCTGGTCACGTAGCTGGAGACAAACTGCCCGAGAAAGAATGCGGACCAAAACCTCGCCGATGGCAATCGGCCGAACATCCATGTTCGACTTCGCCAGAGCCACGAGGGTGGAGGACGCTAGCAAGGAGCGCGCAGCTGGAGCGCAACGGCCTCGGAGCCACTGCTGGTACACGGCCAGGAGGAAATGGAGACTCTGAGGGAAAGCTAGGAAAGTGTCTCGCAGGTGCTCAGCGACCCAACCGGACGGTCCTCCCGAAGAGCCCCGCGGAGCTGTGAAAATCGCGCGGCGTAAGTGATCCACCGAGAGCACGAGAGGGGACCCCTGGAAGCCAGACAGCCAAGCTGGGGTCGGCCTCTCCGCGTTGGGGTGCTTCGACTGCAGGCGCTGTATCGTCCCCTGTGTATCTGGGGCTGCCTCCGCGGACTCGAGAGCCGCGCACGCCCGTGAGGTCTCATTGCACGCTGCCAGACGAAGGCAACGTGCAATGCGGCGCTCATCTGCTGCAGAGGGATCGGTGGCGGTGCTGTGACCGGTGACCTGTGCGGCGAGGAAGGGGTGTGCGACGGCCTAGTGCATCTGAGACTAGCTCAGCCCACTCACCTCGACCAAAGCGAGAGATGCGCGTTGCAATGGCAGCCGTGTGCGAAGCGGTCGGGTGGCGTCGCTGGAACAAGGAAAAGAGTCGGCGCTGCAGCGAGGAGGAAGGTAGGGCCAGCAGCCTCCGGGTCCTGGGCAATGCGGACTAGGATCGCACTGAGGACGTCAAGATATCCTCCGCGGACCCTCTGTCCGGGGACACGTCGGAGAGCCGGGCTGCATGGATAGGCGTCTCGGGCGAGAA